ATCTCATTATTGGAATCAGTGATGTGCTTTTGCTTTAAATTCAGCCACCTCGTGTCCTATGTAGCCACCATGGCCTTTTTTGAGAAGCATTGCTCAAAAGATATAAGCGTGTTCTATTCAAGGCATATTTTCACAACCTCTCCACCTATGTGGGCTAGAAATTTTGCAGAAGATTGTAAACATGGTATTCTAAATAATAAATCTCCAGTCATCCATGGAAACCAGTAATTTGGGACAGCTAAACCAAAGATAGTCGAAATGGTGCAAGCACAGTGAGCCTTTCTCCCCCTCCTCACATACTCTGAACGCAGAGAGGAGTTTTGTTTCTTTACCTTTTTTGGTAAACTACCATTTCATTTTCATTGCTAGCAGTGTGAGCAATTACATTCCCAGTTCAAATGTAGCGCTGGTTGTGAACTTGCTGGGCCACTTAACACAAACCAAAAGAATCCTATTTTACGGGGGGGGGGGTCATAAGATTTGTTAGATAATGTATGCAGAATGCTTTGAGCACTCTGAAGGTTTTAATACAAATCCTAAACATTATTAATTTATCCAGTTACACTACTCAGAGTTGATATTGTGCTGCCACACACCCCGTAAAACAAGGGAGGGAAACTATGGCCCTCCTGATGTTGTGGAAGCTCAGCTCCTCTCAGCCCCCGGCAGCATGGCCAACAGCCAGGGATGGTGAGGATGCAAATGAAAACCACAGATTCCCTGTTGCGGACACAAAGCATCACCACCAAACAGCTCTGTGCCAAAAATATTGACAAACCATTGTTTTTCACTGGTAAGCCTTGCTACCTCTGCGTAATGCTAGCTACAGTTGGTTGGTTGGTTGCTGGCTGGCTTTAAAATGTGCTCACAATTACACTAGTTAGACATGTTTGCTGAGCATGAAAACACTTGTTTACATGAATTATATGAATTGATAGCAGCAGTTATTTCTTGTAGCGTTTCAGTAAACTGCCCTTGCGAAAGAAAAACTGCTTGGAGGGAAAGATGAAAGGTGCCACCTACTGTTCACTAAGAGCTATTGCCGCAGGAAACTGTCTGAATCTTAGCCATAGGGAGAGGATGCTGCTGCAGAACCTATTGTTTGGATACCCCACCTAAACTAGATGTATGTAGAATCAACTGTAACCCTTCCAGACATTGCCCCACGTCAGACATTAACACTTAGGCTAACTTAAACATGTAGTTTATGCAGATTAAACAGCACCATGCATATACTTTCAGCTGGCTGACTGAGGAAACATGATGCAGTGGGACAGTGAGACCACAGTGTGGGATCCTTAAGCATGTTGACGCAGCGCAACAGCTCATTGTCAGGGACTGAAAGAAAGCACTGCATTGGGCTGGATTTGAGCCTGTATGGAGGGGTGGGGCAATTAGTTCAGTGAGCAATGGAGGACCTATAGGCAGAAGGGTCCCTGTGACTAATGGGCAGAACTCTAGCTGAAGGACAAGGGTAGGCATGTCATTCCTCCATCCATCTATGGCTCTTTCCCACCAGAATTCATCAGCCTCACTCTCACATTACATGTGTTTGTAATCTGCTTTCCCTCGCTTTCTTGCACTGTCTTTTTACCACACTAATCAGCCTCCCCCTTACTTCCTATCACTAACTCCACTGTTTCCCCGCTCCACAATGTCCGTTCCACATCATTCCGTTTTCTCCATCACTTATTCCTATTTTTCCAATATAGGCACATATGTTCTTAAAGCTCTGTAGAGCAAAGCCTTTTTATATTATATCCAACAACACATTAAAAAATTAACTGGTGTCACTTGACATGCTGAAAGGTTTGTTACTCTTATAAATATGTCTCATCTCCTACTTGAAGGAAGGTGATATCCCGGGAAGTGTGTTAAGTCAGTAGTCCATAGTATTATCCTTTAATTGGTTACATAATAAGTTCCACATAAAAGAGGTCCAGCCTCGAATAGTTACCCTACACGTCTTCATGCAAGAAGGCACAACCTTTTCCTCCACCACTTTTACAAGACATGGCAAGGAAATAAAATGCTGTTTAATAAGACACAAAGTAATGGGGCTAACAAGATCTTGCAGCATATTTTTATAGACCCTTGTCCTCTGGTTAGCAACTATTTTTTAGAATGGACAGTCTTTTGAATGGAGTAGGACTGAAGGGTGAACGACATTGACTTCACCGACCCACTTCCACATAAAGCTAGAAGATTGTACCACACAACAGAAAAACAACAAAAGGACAAAGCCCACTAGTACAAAAATCTTCAGTGACTCGTTTTATTGCACTGATTGCCCTTGTCCTTTTGTCCCTTCACTCCCACATGAAGTAGGTGAAAGCAAAGGCTTTCTTTCCTCTCATCCCCTGGGACAGCAGCCACAGATGGAGCCCTCCCTTCACCCACTTCAGTTGCTGCTCAGACCTATTTACTTCTTGCTCTGAAATAGTGGAAAGATGCTTTGCCTACATTTCAGTGCCAGCAGAGGGCTGCCATGCAGAAGATTGAGACTAGTTTTCTGCTGCTCCAGGGGCCAACACTGAAACCAGTGGGTAGAAACTGCATGAAAGCAGATTTCTGTGAAGCATCGGGATAAACTTCCTCACAGTAAAAGCTGCTTGGCAATGAAACAGACTGTCAGGAGTTGCTGAAAGCATTGAAGCAGAGACGCATTTGTCAGGGATGTTGTAGCTACATTGAGCAGGGAGTGAGTTAGAGATGACCTCCAAAGTCCTTTCCAACTTCTGTAAAGGAGAAGACTTTGCCAAAACCTCCATCAGATGTACTGGTGATGTAAAGGGAGTGAGTGGGTGTCATCAGAAGCCAGGCTTAGAATGGGAGCCCTGGTGTCCGATTCATCACTTGAACTGCCAGTTGCCTATCCCTGCTGTAATTTATGTGGCTAATTATCTCAGGGCAAACATAAGAGTCATGGAATTGTAGAGCTGGAAGCGATCCCCAAGGGTCATCTAGTCCAGCCCCATGTAGGAATCCTGCCCATAGCCATCCCTGGGTGTGTTCGGGCCAACTTTCTGGTTAACAGCCAGACACATTGACACATTGTGCCACTATTATGCTACTTTAGATGGGCTAAGAACCCCCCCCCCAAAAAAAATGAAGTTCACATGGGTAGATAGGCAAACCTATCGTAACAGCATGTTTTCAGCACTCAAAAAACTAGTGCCTGGGACTCTTTGGAGGACGTAGTGACAATCAAAGCGCCACCATGTGTTGGCAGTACTGATCAGACACACTTCTATACTTTCAGGGGGCTGTGGGGAGCTTTTATTATCATGTCATCATAGCTGTAGTTTTCTATGTCCCATTTATGTAGGAGTAAATTCCATTGAACTTTGACAGCCTCACACCTGAATAAACATGTTCAAGATCATGCTTACACTGCACCAGTTCTACTGACTTTATCCCTATTTTTGTGTTGGTTCAAACTTCAGGAACTCTTGTGCTAACCCTTCTTTTTCATTGCTTACAGACAGAAGCATTCTAAAGTTTGGGACACTCGTCAGCACTTCAAACACTTATGATGAGTCTGGAGTTGTGACCATTGAAACAGACAAACCTTTGCTTTGGACAATGGGCATCAAAGATAAAGGATGTGCATAAACTCTCAGCAGCTATTTTTGTTCAGCCCAAGCCTTAAAGCAATGCTTCCTGGGAAAATGTCACTGCACTATCTAAATCTAGATTTCATGCATTAGTTGGATTCTCCAACTCAAGAGTTTATGATTCTATGCAGCTTCAATCTATAGAATGCCAGGGATTTTAGTTTTTTGCTATTTGAGCAATGCTGTATTGTAAGGTTTTTTAGAATTCTGAACATTGATGTGTTTTTTATATATACTGTGCATAGGATTTTTTTAAAGATTGGAAGGGCTGATAAAGTGATATTTATATCACTTGATGAGATAAATAACTTACAGACTAGAACACTGTATAACTTTGTGTTCTGAAAATTTGATAGCTCTCTTCAGCAGAACACAAACATTCAACTTGCCAGTGGGCTGGAACAAGTAGTGCGCACCCCAAGCCAAAACCCACAAAATAAGTTGCCATGATAATATAATAACCATGCATGCAACCTCTGTTGCATTCATCTATATTTAGCCCATAGTGTGTGTCAGGGGCCAAATACAAATGGATGCTCACTGATGACAGCTTGGATGCATACATCACGGGCTCCAGGGACCACTTTTGCTGGTATTAAAAGGGGATGGGGAGAGGCAGGCACACAATGAAAATGTGTGGAGTGTCTCCCTGGTAATTACAATAATCTATAAGAAACAAAAACTATTCTTGAGCTAAAACACTTAATTATAATTGCCAAAGTTTAAATGAACAGTCTGTTTTTAAAAAGGGAAGATGGCCTAATGTCGCATTTTAAACAAGTGTTATGCAAATTCTTACATTTAATAAAGGCTATATTTAAATATCAGACTTGTTATGAATTTGCTTCTGCTATTACATGAGGGAATAAAGAGAAAAGGGCTCTGTCAGTGCTGAACATCTTAAGAGGCAATCAGAACTATGTTTGTATGCAAAGGTTATACAGTGGTACCTCGGGTTACAGACGCTTCAGGTTACAGACGCTTCAGGTTACTGACTCCACTAACCCAGAAATAGTACCTCGGGTTAAGAACTTTGCTTCAGGATGAGAACAGATATCGTGTGGCGGCAACAGGAGGCCCCATTAGCTAAAGTGGTACTCAGGTTAAGAACAGTTTCAGGTTAAGAACGGACCTCCAGAGCGAATTAAGTTCTTAACCTGAGGTACCACTGTAAAGAGTTTGGAGTGTCCATGCGCTGCTCAGTTTATTCAACTATTGATGCTCCCCTCCCCAGACACTGAAGAGATTGAGCATTTCATAAAACCTGATTTGACCTCAAAGGTTACATCATTCAGTTTACTAAGCATAAAGTTTTAAGTCTTAAGTCAGTGATGGACATTGGCCTACACGTGCTTGTATTAACCAACTAAGAAGCCACACCAGTTTTACTTTAAAATCTGTTTATAACGACAAGTAGCAAAAGATGATTTAGGAAGATTATGCCAGAAAGGCCAGAATGTTCTCTTTTGTTACCACAAGCAAAATCAAGTTACATGTCTTCTTGATGCAGCATTCAGCCACCCCTGTAAAAAAGAAAAAAAAGACAACACAATCACAGAGGCACTTAATAGCATTTTACTATTTTGTTTTTAAAGTAATGTCCCCCCCCCTTTATTTAAATCGAAAAATCTTTACTTAAAGTGTATCATCCTATTTGTTTTTAGCAGCATGCCTTTCCCTTCTGTAAGCAATAGAAAAGTAGCCTGCACATACTTTAAATAAATAAGGCAAAAAGTGTTAAAGGACCCTTGGATGGTTAAGTCCAGTTGGAGCGTGGCGCTCATCTCCACTTTCAGGCCAAGGGAATACATAGGGCAGATTCAAAGTAGATATCTATGTTATTTAAGTATGCCAGTGCATACAGGATTATAAAGACGACATCATGAGAGCCAGAGATCACAGCAGAGTGCACAAAAATCAAATTTTAGTACATTGCTCACAAGTTGTTGTTTTATACCAGCAATATCAATTATGATGCATGTACTTACACAATGATGTTGTTGATTGGAATATGGATCAGTTTTACAAAGAAACCAATAAATCCCATTATTGCAAATCCTATTGCTGTTGCCATAGCAATCTTCTGGAATTCTGGAATTAAAAAAAAATGTATTTAAAAAATGTACTCTTAAATGAATTTTGAATAACAACAACCAAATGTGTTACAACCAAATATTTAGCCAGGAATACTTGAACAATTGGAGGAGAATATGAAGTTTTTCTAATTTAAATCTGGTTATTATTTGAAAATAAGTCACCACCCTGCCTATTCACTGAGCACATGCTGGCCTCCCCCTCCCCTCCCCCACTTACAAAATGCCTACACTTTCAGAGTTAAAGGGCCCGTGTCTCCCATAACTTGCTAAGTTAGAATCATAAAATCATAGAATTGTAGAGTTGGAAGGGACACCCAACCCCCTGCAATGCAGGAATCTCAGCTAAAAGCATTCATGGCAGACGGCCATCCAACCTCTGTTAAAAACCTCTAAGCAACCAGAGTCCACAACCTCCTGAGGGAGTCTGCTCAACTGTTGAACAGTTCACACTGTCAGAAAGTTCTTCCTGATGTTTAGTCGGAATCTCCTTTCTTGTAACTTGAATCTAATGGTTCTACCCTCCCATGCAGGAGAAAGCAAGCTTGCTCCCTCTTCCGTGTGATACCCCTTCAGATATTTGAAGATGGCAATCATATAAGCTGCTCCTTATATGAGCACCCTGAGCACAATTGCCACCGGCCCGTACGGGCAGGGGTACCTTTACCTTTACCTATCCTTTAGTCTGTCAAACGACTCCTGGACCAAATGTGTATATTGCTGCAGGCAAAGACATTTTCACCCACGTAGCAAAATTGATGTGGCAGCTAAGAAAATACAAGCCAGGTTCAAAAAAACATAGGGGGGAGTGGGATGTGTTTTTGTTTTATTGCATATTTAACACCTGTATATCTTATTGAAGAGGGACAATGCATTGATTAAATTAGGGAGGTGTTTTCTTTCATTTTTCTGTTTTTGTGTTTATGTTTGCTAAATACATCAAAATGACAGCTTGGTGTATTTATACTGTGGTGACCTATGGCTTCAAGAAGAAAGCTTATATATTGATTCACATTGGTTCCTGAATGTAATTGGGGATCCAGGGATTATCAGATTCCTCTCAGGGTTAGAGGTTTGAGCCCCATGTTGGCCAAAAGATTTGTGCATTGCAGGGGGTTGGCCTAGAATAGATGACCCTTGTGGTCCCTTCCAATTCTATGATTCATGATTCTATGCACACCATTGACAGTGATACTGAATGCCCAGAACTTTTTTTGGGGGGGGGATCTCCCTCTTGAGCAGAGCTTTCCAAACTTTTCATGTTGGTGACACACTTTTTATACATGCATTATTTTGTGACTAGCAAACCAGAGATTAAACTAACCCCTTACCAGCCCTTAGGGGACCACTGCAGCCAACACACTAACATGTCACAACACAGAGTTTGGAAAGCTCTTCTTCTCTACAGGCTAAATATGCCACATGTGATGGCACCTTAAGTAATCATTAAATCTTCAAGAATTTATGCCTATGCTGCCACTCTTTTCCATCTTGTAACATATTCAATGATCTGATGTTACAGAAGAGCTAGGCAAGGAAGGAAGGGAGGAAAAGACCCTAAAAAAGAAGAGTGGTCCACAGGAAATAGATGAAAGAGAGAAAGTCAAGGGAAGAGGTCTGCAAGACATCATAATCACCCACATCATGGGCTTAATATCTCTAACCAGATTCCATAGTGTAACTATACACTTAATCCGAAGAATTTTTTGCAGGGTCTACAATTTTGTCAATTTGTGCTCACTACAACCTTCCCTCACCAAACATGGGAGGGTCAGGGTGTTGTCCAACATCACATTGAGCTTGAGGCCCAACACAGCTGCATGGAGTGAGCTGGGTTGGGGAGGCAGAGTGGAGCTCTACCCTGTCACACCAGGACTAAGAAAGCCTTGTTCCTTTCCAAGTTACTTGAAGGCTCCAATGACAGAGAGCAACTGACCTTCTCTCGGCTCAGGAGGATGGGCGCTCTTGCTGATGCTGTGTTCCCAGAATATGCTCATCAGTGACAAGATGACAAGCACACTTCTAGACTCTTGCTCAGAATCACTATCCTCACCCCATTCAAAAGCAAAGCCTCTAGCCATCTATCAGAAACCACACTGTTGCATAGCTCTTAGGCATATGAGCTCAGCTATATATTTTAGATTGTTGGGGTTTTTTGTCTGTTAAAAATGCAGCATCGATCTCCTCTTTAAAAAACCTACTAAATATTTTACCAACAAAATGAAAATATGATATTAAACACAGGAACTTGTGTTTATTGTCATCTACAGGAACAACCTGTTTATTACATTTTATTCTACTCTGCAATGTCACAAAAACATTCAGTGTTTTTCTTCTTGGTGGCTTTACCTTTCCTATCTGGCTTTGTGCATCGTTTAACAAGCCTGATGGAATCTTTCACAAACTGACGACTAGGTTCCACAAACTGCATTACTTGATCCATGATATTCTGCAAGAAAAAGAACCAACATACCAACTTATTAGGATTTTTTTCATATGCAATCATTCCAAATCAGGCTTAGAAATTGCCTTCAATTCAAACCACAAAGCTCCTATACAGCAAATAAAGTTGTTCTTGCAAGTTCCCAATTTTTGTTAGCATTTTTTTATTTAACTGGTAAAAAAACAGATGTTCACTTAAAACAATGCTAATATACCCCAGCATCTATGATGTCATTTTAGAGATCTCCAACATGTTCCTTTAATATTTTTTGTTGCACTAGTGCACGATAATAATGAGCTCAGGGAATTTGGTCATTTGTATGAAGCTATAGTGCAACAGTAATGCACTCATTTTACACCATCACCAATTATGGTTAGCCGACACTGAGGCTCCCAAGCTTCATAGCTCCCCCCCCCCCAATTCAGTGTAGGAATATTCAGTTGCTCAAAAGGAGGCAAATCTGCAATACCTTTTAACATAACATTTGGGAGAACATGGAAGTACAGTTGACCAGAGTGGAGGGTGGGGGAGCAGTGACATTAAAAAACACCTGGTGGTAATATAATACCCTACACTGCACAGCTAAGTTAAATAAGTTTCTGTCCCGCTCTCCCCACCCCCTTATTACACACGGCTGTGTCCTGAAGCCAATGACAAAGTTTAGAAAAAACACTGCAGTTCGTGATTTAGGCACAGAAAGGGTTGCAAACCTTCAGAAGTGCTTAGTCTCAAACCTCCTATTTGGCCAATATTTAATTAGGAACACAGTGAGCACAAGTTCCCCGTCTGTGTGTAACGTGACCAGATGTTTCCCCCCCCCCACTTTTCTTACCCCCCCCTTTGTTTTGGGGGGTGGGGAGAAGACAGCGATACATGAAACGCCGCGTGGTCTGTGCCTGGGAGACACGCGGCATTTCCAGACGCAGAAATGGGGCGACCCTCCCCCCCCCGCCTTCCCTCAGCCGCGGAGACGAGGAAGGGCCACCGAGTCCTGGTCTCGCCGCCGCTGCGAGTCGGGGCTGCTCCCTCCGGCGCCTCCGCCTCGGCCGGGCGGCTTCGCAACTGGCTTCTGGGCCCCCGTTACTGCGCTGCTCCCCCCCGGCCCCGGCCCCCCGAGACACGACTCCCCTCGAGACTCACCGACTTGTTGGACACGTAGCAATACCAGCAACGGGAAAGGGAAGCGGAAGCGAGAGAAAAAACTTGCGCCGGCGACGGGGAAATGGCGTCACGGAGCGGCTTCCGCTCGAAGGGGAGGCGGCCGCGATCGCTTTCCGAGGAAACTTCCGGCTCCCAAGCGGCGCAGCTTGTTGTCGTCGCCGAGTTCTGTGGCAGAATCAGGGCGCCCTGCAAAAGTGCCCTTTGTTTTGGTTTGAAAGCCCGTAAGGACGCCTGCTTTGGCCTAGCAGGTTTATTACACATTTGCCGAAATCTAAAGAAATTTGGCACAGGGAATTACCGTGTCCAGTGAAGAAGGGATGTGCCTTATTATTATTATTATTATTATTATTATTACAATATGTTTATTTTCAATGTTTACTCACCCACACAGCTTTTCCCTGACAGGGAAATTAGAACAGTTAAAAACATAATGGGGAACAATCATTTTTTTAAAAACAAAAATAAACATTAATAGAAATAAAATTATATGTGTATGTGTGGATTCCTACCAGTTATATGTAGCTGTTTGAAAAGCAGAGAAGGTCCCAGCGCAGCTCTTAAGAATTAAGGCACTTGCCGATTTGTTGCTATTTTCTGGTGAGGTTCAGTCACATACAGGCAAATTCAGGTTGCTCAGTTAAAGTTGATTTGGAGGTCTTGCAGCAACCCCCCCCCCCAAATACATGCACAATTCAGACTTTTTGTGGTAGCAGAGACAGGGAAATACGCTGGAACTGTCAGATGACATTTGGTTGATGTAACATTGTGTAATCTCTCTGCAAACAAATCAGGATGAGTGCCCCATTTTATCCGTTTTGCAATACAGATTAAAAATAAAATATAGTCTATTCTAATGGTAGCTCATCATTAGCATATCAAACCACATGAGACAAGTTAAAGATACAAATTATTTTTGTTTCAGTAGAATATGTAAGAGCGGAAATCCAGGCTTAGTCTCCTAAACCAAGCTTGGGTTTGTTAAAACAATCCAATTTCCCCTTTCAGAGGTACCATCACTCTATTATATACTTCTTATGAATTATGAACCACTGTCAGGGACTGGGCAGAGGAGAAATGGTGGAGACCACCTTCCCAGTCTGAACCTTCCACAGAAGAAGACAGTATAGGTTTACAACAGTGGTTTGCAGAGGTTACAGTTCAGAGGCAGATGAGGATAAAAGTTGGGAAATAATGGGAGAGGAGGAGGCATAGCCGGAGCAGCTGGCTGACACGTTATCACTAAAAAAATTTTTTAAAGTCCAGTAGAACCTTAAAAGGTAAAGGGACCCCTGACTGTAAGGTCCAGTTGTGAACGACTCTGGGGTTGCAGCACTCATCTCACTTTACTGGCCCAGGGAGCCAGTGTACAGCTTCCGGGTCATGTGGCCAGCATGACAAAGCCACTTCTGGCAAACCAGAGCAGCGCACGGAAACGCCGTTTACCTTCCCGCTGGAGCGGTACCTATTTATCTACTTGCACTTTGACGTGCTTTTGAACTGCTAGGTTGGCAGGAGCAGGGACTGAGCAACGGGAGCTCACCCCGTCACGGGGATTCGAACCGCGATCTTTCGATCGGCAAGCCCTGGGCTCAGCGGTTTAGACCACAGCGCCACCTGCGTCCCTAAATGTGTCCATAGCACCTTAGAGACCAACTAAGTTTGTTCTGGGTATAAGCTTTCATGTGCATGCACACTTCTTCAGATACACTGAAACAGAAGTAACCAGTGGGAGGGTGGGGTAGAGTTTTTCTCAGAAAGGGTAGTAGGAGATGGGTGATTTTTATTTATTTCAGCTGTGTCAGACCAACACGGCTACCTACCTGAATCACTTTATCACTAGAAAGCATTCTAGATCCCCCCGCCTTCTCCCAGAACCTGGCAAGCCTTAAAAGTAGGAGAGCAAAGGGCTCGGAGACAGGTGGCCCTAAGCAACAACCGTAAGGTGGGTGGTGCTGTGGAGGAAGGAGAGAAGGTGGGTGGAGATTTATTTGGAGCAGCACCAAGAGGCTGCATTTCTAAGCCTCTCTGTGAATATTGAATAAACAACATTGTTAAGAACTTTCCTTGTCTTATCCATTCCTGGCAACCTACCATGGGGGGTTGGATCCTCTGAAGCCTGACACCCACTATTTTTCAATATCCTTAGACATTCCCGCTTCCTGGATATTCACAAGCTTATTCACAAGCTTAGTTGTATCAGTTTATTCAAGAGTCACTTTGATCAAATTGATAGTTGTACTTGGATCTCTGAAAAGTTTAGACCTAACCATAATTCTCAATATGTTCAGTTTTGTGAGCCCCAGTCTGAATCAGGCCACCGAGATTCAGGTTTCTGATGTCAGACAAGGCTTCTTCCCATAGCTGTCAAGTGTCCCTTATTTGAAGGGACAGTCCCTTATTCCAGCGCCATGTCCCTTATTGATGGATGTCCCTTAAATGATGTCCCTTAAATTTCAAAGGAAGCAGCTCCTCTCCCTCCCTCCCTGCCGGACAGGTTAGGAGGGAGGCTCCAACTGTTTTGATTGGCTGTGTTGCTCACCCAATAAGAAGTCTAAGAACGACTGGGGGGTGGAGCTTGCATGCCTTGTGTGTGGCTAGTTAATGCAAGCTGAGGGGGGTTTTGAATGCTGGACGCCATTTTGTGGCACGTACTGCTGCAAACTTTGCAGTGCAAAGCCAGGCCGGGGAGCCATCTTAAGTTGAGGCTGCACAGGCCTTGTGGTGCATGTGATTCAGATTCTATTCAGTTGAACCTCTGGTTACAAAGTTGGTTGGACAGTGTTCTCGAAGCTACCAGCATGAGTTTGAGCAGACTGCAGGAGGACAGGAAGACTGGAGTGCCTGGAACAGGTGAGGCTGCAGATCCCTTATTTTGGCTGCTGGCCCCTTATTTTCAAGGCTGCTGGTCCCTTATTTTCAAATCTGTAAGTTGACAGGTATGCTTCTTCCTGGTAGACTGTTGCAGCCCAAAATAACAGAAATTATAGGCAAGTCAAATATTAGGGTATTTTTGATAATTTATCTTCATTTAACAGTCCTCGCATCTCCATGCATGTAAAAATTTGCTGCAAATAATAAAGACCTATAGGCCTAAATATGCCCTCAAAGACCAAATCATTTTTTAAAAAGTCTTTTAAAACAGACACAATTGCTCCAAATTGTTTTAGGCCAATGTCCAGCATTGCAAATTTATTAGTATTAGTAGTAGTAGTAGTAGTAGTAGTATTAGCCACCCATCTGACTGGGTTGCCCCAGCTACTCTGGGTAGCTTCCAACAAAATATTAAAAATACAATAAATATCAAACATTAAATTTAGGGTTGCCTTCAAATGTCTTCTAAAAGTCCAATAGTTGTTTATTTCCTTGACATTTGATGGGAGGGCATTCTACCACTATCGAGAAGGCCCTCTCCCTGGTTCCCTGTAACGTCACTTCTCCCAGTGAAGGCACTGCTAGGAGGCCCTTGGAGATGAACAATGGGGTGGGGCAAGGCCGTTTAGGGCTTTAAAGGTTAGCACCGACACTTTGAATTGTGCTTGGAAACGTACTGGGAGCCAATGTAAATCCTTTAGGAATGGTGTTATATGGTCCTGGTGGCCGCTCCCAATCACCAGTCTAGCTGCCACATTCTGGATTAGTGGTAGTTTCTGAGTCACCTTCAAAAGTAGCCCCATGTGGAGCACATTGCAGTATTCCAAGCGGGAGATAACCAGAGCATGTACTACTCTGGCAAGAGTCTTATTGTTTTCCAAAATGGCATTCAATTCCTTGGTTCATCGATTATTTTTATTTATTAGCCAACCGTCATCCTAAGGTCCCAGGACGGGTTACAGAATTAAAAAACAGTATTAAAAACAATTTAAAGCAATGCTTTAACAAACAATCTAACAATGCTCACCTAATGTCAAGTAGATAACCCTGTACACAGTATATTCATGTATCATTGTATAAAGCATACCAGTTCCTGAGTTACAATGAAGTCAGAAATCAGTGTCTCATGATTTTTCAAGAAGAGAAGCATGATGCTGATGGGATATTCCAGAAAGTGAGCAAGCTGCAGTTTTACATCTACGTAATGATGTAAACAACTTCCTCTTTTTGATTGTAAGCATTTTTGTGCAGGTGAAAAATCAGTAAAAACTACTATTCATACATAGCATATAAATGAAAAAGACATAGCATATAAATGAAAAAGAAAGGACTACAGGCGATTGTTGGCATTACATGACCTTAAGAACTTGCCTCAAAATTCCAGTGATGATGAGACTGATGACATCACAAAATCTCCCTTTGTTATTGAGTCTTTAAGACTCAGTTTTGGCACATTAAGAAATAGTTGTAGATATAGAAGTAGGGCCATGGCAGAGAGGAATTATGAGGGCCTTTTTCCATCAGGCCACTCATAAACTTAATATCTAAACTCTCAAGCCAGCTTCCATAAATTCTCCCTTCCTTTCTAAGGCCAAACTATCTCCTGCATCTGTTCATCTTTTCCCCTCATCATGGATCCAAGAAAAGTTCACAGTGACATACATGACCAGGTCAAGCTTACTTGAACTTAGCTAATTCTGAAGATCGAGTCTTCCTTCGGGAATCATTAGGAAACATAAATAATTCCTTACTACACACAACAAACAACATTTGTGTAGGTGAGGCTGGTGATAAGCTTCTGAAAGATCCAAGCAAGGAGAACAATTTTGAGAATTGTAGTGAGGAAACGGAACAATGTCAGAACAATATCCACGAACTGGGATGCAATAGCCTGAAAGTAACTGAAGAGATGAGGAATCAAATCAATGAAAAGTGTAAGGAGGCATTTGAAGTCCTAGCTAAAGGTGAACTTCAGAAAGCAGTTCATTTGTTCACTGAAGCCATTGAGTTGAATCCACATATTCCTAGTTCCTATATTAACCGGGCCAATATCTTTATGCAGTTGCAGGAGGCACAGGCTGCCATTAAAGACTGTGACATAGCCATTGAACTGAATCCCAAATCAGCAGAGTCATACAGACTGCGAGGGAAAGCATTCCAGAATTTGGGGCATTGGGAAGAGGCAGCCTGTGATCTTGCTTTAGCTTCTAGACTGGAGTATGAAGAAGAAGCCAATGCTGTGGTAAGAAGATTGAAGTTAGGGTTTCAAAGAATATCTGAGACCCGTGCAAAGTGTGCCTTAAGATACAAGGAATCTGAGTTACTGGAGCAGGTTAAGAATGTAGAGGCAACTTCAAAGGATGATGCAGAAGATCAGAGAGAGAAAGATTTTAGCCCACTATTAGAGAATAAAACAGCAAATGGCAAACTAGATCATGAGGATGAGTTCCAATACATGCTAAATGAAAATGTGGAGACAGTTGAGATGTGGAAGCAAACCAATGAAAAAAAGAAAGAAGCCTTTGATGCAGTGGATAAAGGTGAACTGCAAAGAGCCATTGACCTGTTCACTGAAGCTATTGAATTAAACCCCCAGTCTGCCAACTTGTATGTTTGCCGAGCCAGTACCTTTCTAAAGCTGCGTATGCCACATGCTGCCATAAGCGACTGCAATCAAGCTATAAAAATAAACCCTGATGCAGCATTACCATATAAGTGGCGCGGGGGCGCTTTTCATCTGTTAGGATACTTGCAGGAGGCCGCTAAAGATCTTTCTTTGGCCTGTCAGTTGGATTATGATGAAAATACATATACCATGTTGAAGGAGGTAGAAGCAGAGACCCAGTCATTCACTCAATGTTGGAGAAAGCATGAAGAAAAATGTAATACAGAATCATTTACGGAAAAGATGGAAAGGATGAAAGAAGCCCTTGTGGACCCAGAGAGTACACAGACAAAGATTCCATTGAAAACACCAAAACACCAAGATACCATTTCAGAAGAACAAGAAAGGAGTAAATTTAAACTCTACCAAGAAAAGGAAGTTCCATATGATCATGCCCAAGAACATGAACCATTTATTCATTTTCCAGAGGAACAATGCAAAGCCTATCCTCTGTATGCTGCAGAACAGGAGAAAGGTCAACTCATAGCACATGAAAAATACGAAACATCTGACGTTCAGGAACTAGAGATTCAGAAGGGAACTAAGAGTGATTCTGAATGCATTAAATCAGAGAGTGAGGAGAGTGAATTGGAAATTGATACTGAAGAGGTGATTGAACCAGATGAAGATGTTCCTCAAGAGATGGGAGATGAAAACTTGAAAGTAACAGAGGAAATGCGAAAACAGGCCATTGAAAAGAAAAGAGAAGCTATTGATGCAATCAATAAAGGCGAACTTCTTAAAGCTTTAGATCTGTTCACTGAAGCTATTAAGCTAAACCCACACCTTACGATTTTATATGCAAACCGAGCCAAGGTCTATATGAAGCTTCAGAAACCAAATGCTGCAATTAGGGACTGTGACAAAGCCATACAGATCAACCCTGATTCGGCTCAGCCCTACAAGTGGAGAGGAAGAGCATTGCAGCTACTTGGTTACTGGCAGAGGGCTGCTAAAGACCTAGCCTTGGCCTGCCAATTGGATTATGATGAAGAATCCTATGCCATGTTGAAGGAGATACAGCCAAAGGCTCAGAAAATTGCCAAATACTGGCGAAAGCATGAGCGGAAACTTGAGAAAAAGAAGTACAAGGAGCTTCTGGAAAGCCTTCACAAAGTTTGTGAGAAGCATGGAAGACCACAAAGTATACTTGCAGGATCAGAAAGTGATGACAAGGTAGCCACTGAAGACCAGAGAAGGGCTTGGAAGGAAACCATGAAGGAATGGCAGGGAGTCAGACACACCGTCCTGAGGAAACAGGAGGGAATGTCCCAGGAAGAGGTGGGAAGAAGTCTGCAAGAAAGTATATGGATACAATATAGGTCTTATGAAAAGGAGACCGATGAACAAGAAAACTTTCAGCAGAAGCTACTGAAGGAGCAAGAAAGAGTTCAGCACAAGGAAGTAAAATACCAGGGAACAGTCCATCAGAAAGAGCTGGAGGAACAGTTAAGAGCCCTTCAGCAGGAACTTGAGGAAAAGCTTAGAGCTTATCAAGAAGAACTGGATGAAGAGGAGAATTCTCTGAGAAGGTTATTAGAAGAACAGGAAAAATCACATCAGAAGTTACTCTATCAGCAAGAAAAAGCTTACAAAGTGATCCTAGAAGAGCAGGCAAAAGCTCAGCTGCTAGCTCTGGAGGAACTAGAAAGAGCTCAGCAAGCAGCTCTGGAGGAACTGGCAAAAGCTCGACTGACAGCCCTGAGGGAACAGGAAAGAGCTCAGCAACAAGCCCTTGAGGAAGAGGAGAGAGCTCTGAAAGCTCTGGAAAGTGCTCATAAGCAAGCACTGGAAGAACAGAAGAAAGCTCATGTGGTTGCCATGGAAGAACAGAAACTGGCACACAAAAAATCTCTAGAAGAAAAGATGATGGCTGAGGCAGCTCTGGAAGAACTCCAGAGAACTCAAAGGAAGTTTCAAGAAGAGCGAGAAATGGCTGAAAAGAAAACAACTGAAGAAAAAGAAAAAGCTCAGAAGACCCTAGAAAAAATACAAAGTGCTCAAAAGAAGGCTGTGGAGGAACAGGAAAGAGCCCAGAAAGCCCTAGAAGCTTTAGAATTTGCTCATAAACAGGCTGTGGAGCAGCAGAAAAAAGCTCAGATGGCTATCATGGAAAAAGAGCAAGCACAGAAAAAATCTCTAGAAGAAACAAGTATGTCTGAAGCAGCCCAGGAAGAACTATCAAGGGCTGAAAGAAAGGTCCTGGACAATCAGAAAGCAATGGAAGAAAGAAGGGTGCTTCAGAGAGGCCTAGAAGAATTAGACATTGCTCAGAAGAAGGCTGTGGAGGAACAAGAAAGAGCTCAGAAAGCTCTGGAAGCTCTGGAAAGAGCTCATAAGCAGGCACTGCAGGAACAGGAGCAAGCACAGAAAAAAGCTCTTAAAGAAAAGAAGATGGCTGAGGCAGCTCTAGAAGAACTCTCAAGGGCTCAGAGAAAGATCCAAGAAGAGCAGGAAAGGGCTGAAAAGAAAGCAATGCAAGAAAGAGTGGCACTTCAGAAAAGACGAGAAGAATTAGAGATTACTCAAAAGAAGGCATTGAAGGAACAGGAAAGAGCTCAGAAAGCTCAGAAAGCTCTGGAAAGAGCTCACCAGCAGGCGCTGGAGGAACAGAAGAAAGCCCAAGTGGCAGCCATGGAAGAGCAGAACCGAGCCCAGAAAAAAGCTCTAGAAGAAAAGAAGATGGCTGAGGCAGCCATGGAACAACTCCTGGGGATTCAGAGAAAAGTCCAAGAAGAGCAGGAAAGGGCTGAGAAAAAAACAGTGGAAGAAAGAGAGGTACTTCAAAAGAGCCAAGAAGAATTAGAGTTTGCTAAGAAGGTGGCCCTGGAAGAACAGGAAAGAGCTCAGAAAGCTCTGGAAGCTCTAGAAAGAGCACATCAGCAGGCACAGGAGGAACAGAAGAAAGCCCAGGCGGCAGCCATGGAAGAACAGGAACTAGCACAAAAGAAGTATCTAGAAGAAAAAAAGATGGCAGAGGAAGCCCTGGAAAAACTCTTGACTAAGGTTCAAAAAGAACAGGAAATGATTGAGAAAAGAGCAATGGCAGAAGAAGAGAGAGCTGAGAAGACTAAAAAAGAATTAGACATTGCTCAGAAGAAGGCCCTTGAGGAGTTGGAGACAACTAGAAAAAAGGCCAGGGAGGATGAGGAAAGAGCCCAGAATGCTCTGGAAGCTCTTGACAGAGTTCATAAGCAGGCACTGCAGGAACAGGAGCAAGCACAGAAAAAAGCTCTTAAAGAAAAGAAAATGGCTGAGGCAGCTCTAGAAGAACTCTCAAGGGCTCAGAGAAAGATCCAAGAAGAGCAGGAAAGGGCTGAAAAGAAAGCAATGAAAGAAAAAGGAGTTCTTCAGAAGAGCCGAGAGGAATTAGAGATTGCCCAAAAGAAGGCACTGGAGGAACAGGAAAGAGCTCAGAAAGCTCTGGAGGCTCTGGAACGAGCTCGTAAGCAATCATTGGAGGAAAAGAAGAAAGCCCAGGTGGTAGCCATGGAAGAACAAGATCAAGCCCAAAGAAAAGCTTTAGAAGAAAAGAAGAGGCTGAGGCAGCCATGGAACAACTCCTGAGAGTGCAAAAAAGTTTCAAGAAGAGCAGGAAATAGCTGAAAAGAAAGCAGTGGAAGAAAAAGAATTACTTCAGAAGGGCCTAGAAGAATTAGGGATCGCTAAGAAGAAGGCTCTAGAGGAACAGGAGAGAGCTCAGAAAGCTCTGGAAGCTCTAGAAAGAGCACATCAGCAGGCACAGGAGGAGCAGAAGAAAGCCCAGGCGGCAGCCATGGAAGAACAGGAACTAGCACAAAAGAAATATCTAGAAGAAAAAAAGATGGCAGAGGAAGCCCTGGAAAAACTCTTGACTAAGGTTAAAAAAGAACAGAAAATGACTGAGAAGAGAGCAATGGCAGAAGAAGAGAGAGCTGAGAAGACTAAAAAAGAATTAGAATTTGCTCAGAAGAAGGCCCTTGAGGAGTTGGAGACAGCCAGAAAAAAGGCCAGGGAGGACGAGGAAAGAGCCCAGAATGCTCTGGAAGCTCTTGAAAGAGCTCATAAGCAGGCATTGCAGGAACAGGAGCAAGCACAGAAAAAAGCTCTTAAAGAAAAGAAGAGGGCTGAGGCAGCTCTAGAAGAACTCTCAAGGGCTCAGAGAAAGATCCAAGAAGAGCAGGAAAGGGCTGAAAAGAAAGCAATGAGAGAAAAAGAGGTAGCTCAGAAGCCCCTAGAAGAATTAGAGATTGCCCAAAAGAAGGCATTGGAGGAGCAGGAGAAAGCGCAAAAAGCTCTAGAAGCTCTGGAAAGAGCTCATCAGCAGGCACTGCAGGAACAGAAGAAAGCCCAGTTGGAAGTCATGGAAGAACAGGAACTAGCACAAAAAAAGTCTCTAGAAGAAAAGAAGATGGCAGAGGCAGCCCTGGAAGAACTCTTAAGGACTCAGAAGACATTCCAAGAGGAGCAGGAAAGGGCTGAGAAGAAAACAATGAGAGAAAAAGAGGAAGTTCAGAAGCTCTTAAAAGAATTAGACATTGCTCAAAAGAAGGGCCTGGAGGAAAATAAAAGAGCTCAACACAAGGCCTTAGAGGAACAAAGGATAGCCCAGCAGGCTATGGAAGAGCTGGAGAGAGCACATGCTAAGTCTATAGAGGAACAGCAGAGAGCTCAGATGATAGCCTTTGAAGAACAGCAGAAAACTAAGATGATGCATATTGAACTGGAGGAAACTCGGAACAAAGTGTTGGAGGAACAAGAAAGAGCACAGAAGAGAGCTGTAGAGGAACAAGTGAAAGCTCAACATATTATAGAGGAATTGACAAAACTTCAAAAGTCAGCTCTGGAGGAACAAGAAAGAGCTAGGAAGGCCGCCCTAGCAGAGCAGCAGAGAGCGGAGATGATGCTTAAGGAGCTGGAGGAAAGACACAGAAAAACCTTGGAAGAACAGGAAATCATACAGAAGAAGGCCCTTGAGCAACAAGAAAGAGCCCATCTTGCAACAGAGGAGTTAGCAAAAGCTCAAAAGTCAGCTCTTGAGGAACAAGAAAGAGCTAGGAAGACAGCCCTAGCAGAGCAGCAGAGAGCCGAGAAGATGCTTAAGGAGCTGGAGGAAAGACAGAGAAAAGAACGACAAAGAACACAGAAGAAGACTGTTGAGCAACAAGAAAGGGTTCGTCTTGCTCTGGAGACATTGGCAAAGGCTCAAAAGTCAGCTGTGGAGGAACAAGAAAGAACCCGGAAGGCAGCCCTAGCAGAGCAGCAGAAAGCTGAAATGATGCTTAAGGAGCTAGAAGAAAAGCAGAGCAAAGAACGGCAAAGAATGCAGAAGAAGGCCCTTGAGCAACAAGAAAGGGCCCATCTTGCTATGGAGGAATTGTCAAAGGGTCGAAAGGCAGCTCTGGAGGAACAAGGGAAGGCTCTGAAGAAGGCCCTGGAAGAACAGAAGGCAACTGAAAAGGGCACGGTAGTATTGGAGGGAGCACAGAAAAAGGCCTTGGAGGAAACAGAAGCACAGACTAAAAATCCATCACAAATTCAGGAACCTGTTTTTAAAAGGATTCATGAGGCATGCAAGTTCATACAGAAACTGGGTGCTACTGAGCCAGAAGGAGCTCCTAGAAAGCTCTGCGTTGAGCAAGGAAAGGCTCGCAAGAACCTAGAACAGAAAGAACACCAGCAACCACAGAAGGGCCCGGATCATGACAAGAGTTCACGAAGGCCATTCTCGGACTCTGTTTTGGACTTTTTCCAAACAGATTAAATTCCAGAACTCTGATCCTGAATGAGGGTTAGGGAGGGGAAAAGATGGACTGAATTTGAAAGTCATCTGCAGGTACTGTGTTAATGAAAGTAAAACTGGGAACGAAGGAAAAAGAAGAGAAATGTTTCTATTTTTAAAGTGTTCCCATACACACAGTATTTTTTTTAGGATTAAATCATTCCTGTCCACACAGCAGCACTGGGTCCTCAAACAGACAGATAGTCATGAATGCACAATGTTTTTTCATATCATCATGAGTGCCTCAGGGCTTAACTCCTGAGCAGGAGTTGGTTGGTTCCTCCCCAGTCACTACAAATAGCATCTAGGAAGCACCTGAGTGCACACATACTAAGTATTTTTTATAGTTGATCAGATTTTAAAAATAAAAGATTCCATTTTCTACCCAGTGTTTTAAACATTAACTAATATTTTTCAAAATATTACAATATTTTCCCCTGCTCAAATGCTTCCCTACCACCCATGACAGATTTATTTATTTATTTTAGAAACACAAAAATATTAGATACAGGGGGGGAAACGATGTTCATTTAGATGCGGATGAACAGAATATTTAAGGCACAATTAGAAAATGGGTAAAATAAAACATTTGGCTTCTTAGTTTGAGTATTTTCAAGACTCATTCTGATTCAAATAAACATTTCAACCCCTTCTCTGAGTGGGAGCCTCATTCCCTTGCTCCTTTCCTCAGTCTATGAGGTAAGAAATCTACAAATATTTGGTTAATCTCCATGCTGTTTCTACAATGAAAAGAAATGTGTTGGTATTTTCATCCCATCCCATCCTAACATCCTATGTTAAGGGGACTGAATGGACAGACTGCTTTGAAAAGGGGCATGTTGCACATTCATAATAATAATAATAATAATAATAATATTTTATTATTTATACCCCGCCACTTCCCCAGCCACTCTGGGCGGCTTCCCAAAAAATATTAAAATACTGTAATACATCAAACATTAAAAGCTTCCCTAAACAGGGCTGCCTTCAGATGTCTTCTAAAAGTCTGGTAGTTGTTGTTCTCTTTGACATCTGGTAGGAGGGCGTTCCACAGGGCGGGTGCCACTACCGAGAAGGCCCTCTGCCTGGTTCCCTGTAACTTGGCTTCTCGCAGTGAGGGAATCGCCAGAAGGCCCTCGGCGCTGGACCTCAATGTCCAGGCAGAACGATGGGGGTGGAGACGCTCCTTCAGGTATACTGGACTGAGGCCGTTTAGGGCTTTAAAGGTCAGCACCAACACTTTGAACTGTGCTCGGAAACGTACTGGGAGCCAATGGCATCTAATTTAATGTGAAGACTGGTTGTGGTTTTGGTATCAACAAAATTCAAATCCCCAATGAACAGATTTCAGATTTCCAGCCTCCAAACCTACTCTTATCTGTCAGGGAATCATAGAATCATAGAACTGTAGAGCTGGAAGGGACCACGAGCTCATCTAGTCCTCGACCTGCAATGCAGGAATCTTTTTGCCCAACGTGGGACTCAAACCCACAACCCTGAGATTAAGAGTCTCATGCTCTGTCCACTGAGGTATAGAATTTGATAATAAAACAATAACTGAATGTAGTGCTTTTTTCGGGGCAGACTCAGGGAGACGCATACCCCTAAACATTTTGTGAATCTAATGGGAGAAGAAACTAATTTTTTAAAGAAAAAATTAGTTTCTTCTCTAGCATGGTGAATTTTCAGTTCTGCTGCTACCCCCGATGGCGGCCTCATTTCCTTTCACAGTGTTTCCTGAGTCTCAGATGGAAACGAGCATTTAATGTGTGAAGCAGTGTACTGTATTTATTTTTCCCAATTTGAAATATAAAATGGTGGTTTTTGTTATGTACTGAAGTTCTCTCCCTGGGCCAGCAGGGGGATACTGTAGATAGTTTTCACTCAGGTCCACGTCAGTTATTTTAGGCGGGAAACCCTGGGTTGTTGTTGCTACAATGTTGACAGCTGGCTGCCTATAAAAGCAGGCCGGCTGAGCTGTTTGCTGTTCAGTTTCTGTTCCAGCTTACAAAATAAAGAGCTGCTTTGGAGAAATCGCTGTGTCGTCTGCCATGTCTACCCACTATTCAACAGTTTTCTTGAGTCAAAATGAGAGTACCCCTAAACATTCTTTTTAGAAAAAAGCACTGACTGAATGTACTTTATAGATTAAGGAAGAATTATGAAATTATGAGTTTTCTCACACCATACTTTTCACTGTACAGCCAGACACAAAACTGCTAAGACAGCTGTTAAGGCATCCTGCATGTACATATATTTGAAATGATTGAGATCAGAATCCTTTTTTTCCATATTGCAACCCAGTGTCCTCTTTGAGATGCTAAAATTAAAACGTTGGATACACCCTAATCATTATTGTTTTAGAAAAAATCAGAGTGGTTTAAAATAATGCACTTTCTCATTTTGATGAAGTATGGATTTTTGCCTTCTTGCCAGATCCTGATTTTTAACCACAGCCTAGATATTGGGGGGGGGTGAGTTTGCAATCGTGGGACTTCAAAATACAAGCTCCACTTACACCCCACACTCCCTGCTATGAGTGCCCTGAATCCGATCTTTTCAGATTTAGGTTTGGCACAAAATGGGACCACATCAGCAAGGCTGAGAGTGGGGTCTTGTTGTCTGGGCAGCCCAGGACCTCCACACACATTGCCCAGGCTTGCACCCTGGAGAGCTCACTTCAGAGCTGCTAACGCAGCAAAAACAATGGAGGAGGCAGTAACAAAATGGGGTTTGCCTCCACTGCTAGCCAGCTTCCTGTGCCAGTTCCCTCCTTCCCAGGCAAAATAACACCACCCATCCTTCCTTTTTCTGTCATGAGAGGAGGAAAGAGGGCTCTTTAGATACAGGAAATAACTTTCCAACCATTTGTTAACTGGAACTGATGCTCCTGAACATGGTTCGTCCATCATTTATTGCCTGCAAATTTTTCTTTCTTCCCCTGAAATCTAAACTTAATCAGGAGACAATTGTAGGAAATGGACCACAGGACTGAAAATTAACTGTGACCCTTCATCTGATAATATGCTTTTCTCAATGTGTTTTCTCAACAATTAGCATTTCTGAAATGCTAGTGTCTATTAGCATAAAGCTCCTGTATAGCTGCTGCCGCTTTGCCGGTGAGTCTTGGGGAGGACCGCTCCCCCTGCAAGCCCATTCTCCACCTTGGGCCGGGGGCGGGCCCCATACTCCACCTCAGCACACAAGGCTCCAAGGAGGCCTCGGGACATCGCTGCTGCCGCTTTGCCGGTGAGTCTTGGGGAGGACCGCTCCCCCTGCAAGCCCATTCTCCACCTTGGGCCTGGGGGCGGGCCCCATACTCTACCTCAGCATATAAGACTCCAAGGAGGCCTCGGGACATCGCTGCTGTTCTTCTGCCAGTGAGTCTTGGGGAGGACCGCTCCCCCTGCAAGCCCATTCTCCACCCTGGGCCTGGGGGCGGCCCCCATACTCACCACCGCCACAACTCTAAGGACACTGCTGCTGCGGCAGCAAATGTTTAAACGTTTTATATTTTTTAAAGTGTTTTAAAAGTGTTTTTACTTATTACTTTGTTGTATCACCAGAAACGGTGGTTTTTATCCATGTATTTTTATTTTGTTTTGTTTTATTTTGGGTTGGGATGGTTGTTGAGTGGGGTGGGGATTGGTTTTGTTTTGGGGTAATTGTTTCTTTGTTTGTTTGTTTGCTTTTATATTTTGTAAATGGAGGCGAGTATGAGGCTTGGGATTCCTACTGTAGAGGGGCGAGGGAGGTATGGCGGTGGGGGCAGATGTCATAGGCGAAGGGGATCGAGATACGGATATGCTCGTACCACTTCCAATCTGCGCCCCATCCCGAGAGACGAGGGTAGGGTGAGCAAGGATTACTCACCTCCGTCACTGGTGTTGTGCAATGCCAGGTCTATAGGCAACAAAACCGCCACCCTGCGAGATTTCATCATCTCGCAGGGGGTCGACCTGGCTTGTGTGACGGAGACCTGGGTGCGCGAAGGGGATACTGTTACCTTACGAGAGATGGCGCCCCCAGGTTTTTCCGTCCTCCACCAGTCACGGACTGTGGGCCGGGGGGGAGGGGTGGCACTATTAATCCGGGAAGATTGTTCTTTCAGGGCTCTACCACCGCCATCGATCCCCGGCATTGAATGTGTTGGCCTAGTGTGGGGCTCCGAGGTGAGCTTGGCTGTCTGGCTGGTGTACCGGCCACCTAGCGCACCAGCAGCCACCCTGTCAGGCCTGCTGGAGGCGGTGGCCGGCTGGGCCTTGGAGTTCCCTAACCTATTGGTATTGGGGGACTTCAACATCCATGCCGATGCCACTCCCTCCTCACAGGCTCTGGACCTGGTGTCTTCCATGGCGACACTAGGGCTCTCCCAGTTTGTTTCGGGCGCCACACATCAAGCAGGCCACACGCTGGATCTGATCTTTGGCGTCGGTATAGATGTGATCATATTTCCTTCGATGAAGGTGCCATGGTCTGATCACTACGCTCTGAAAGCCAGGATTGACGTTCCACCCCCACCCTGCTTAGGTGGTGAGCCGATTTGGGCTCGCCCGCGGAGGCTGATGGACCCTGATAGATTCCATCAAGCCTTGCGGGACCTTTCTCCCCCTGGCGACTCATTGACTGAGCTTGTTGAGGGCTGGAATACCCAGCTCCTGGCAGCCATCAATGAGATCGCACCTAAGCGCCCTCTGCGACCCCGCAGAAACCGGGCTCCCTGGTTTACTGAGGAGCTCCGGAAAATGAAGCGGGACCTCAGACGGCTAGAGCGAGTATGGCGGGGTGCCCGTGACGGAGCCTCAAGAACATCTTATAGGGTTTTTATGAAAACCTACGAGATGGCAGTGAAGGCCGCTAAGAAGTCCTACTTCTCGGCCTCCATTGCATCCGCTAGCTCTCGCCCGGCACAATTATTTAGTATAATTCGGTCTTTAACGTCCCTCGAAGGACAGCCAAATTTAAATAACAATTCGACACACAGCTGTGAGGCATTT